AAATAAAATATTTCATCAGCTTTTAACTTTCAAAATCGAACTCACCCTGATTATTTGTTCATCGGACAATCGATCCAAACAGAAATAAATATTTTATCAGGTTTTAAGTTTAAAGTCAAACTCACCATTATTATTTGTTCAACTGACCTTTGATCTAAACAAAAATAAAAAGCGGAACGATTGACCCTTCGACTCACTGGGCCTTTGCCTGAATAACACCGAACTATTTCCGGCAGACACTGTCACGGATAAGACGAATCTCTTAATTTCATCTCTGAAAAGGGACCCAAACTTCTTTCGAATTGTAAATCCAAACAACAATTTTGCATTGTAAAATATTTTTATCTAAGCGCCTCCTCTAACTAAAAGTTATCAAGAAAGAAATCCATCTAAATCCACGTCCATTTTAATTAGTGAATACTTCCAGCACAAAAAAAGAATACTATATTATAAGATGCTAACGCATGCCTATGCATTATCAATAAGAATCTTCAGAAAAAACGTTTATTACACCGATCAATAAACTCATTTTTGACAGGTCCATGTTCTGACCAATGGGAGCTGGGATCGAAAAAGTGACGACGGATTCGGATTTCTGGACCTCGATAATATATTTCAAACTTTCATCAGAAATGAGAATGGTGTTGAAATATAATGTATAACGTTGCAGTCCCTGGAACTTGGGATCGGTCCAGGTTCATCGCCGAAAACGTCCTTTTACGATATTTTGAACTAGGACCATGTTTTATTTTGTGTGGAATATTCAAGAATTTGAAAAGTACGAAAACCTTTTACAAATGGGAAATCTCGGAAACGGGTCTTGGTTTTCCAGAATACTTTTTCGACAGCTGGTACGCTCGAAAACCGAAAACTTTTGCGAGTATTGACTTCGGAAACCGAAAGGGTGTACTCGCATACCCATTCGGATATCAACTTAGTCGTTCTGGCAATATTAGTTTCCGAAAATACCCTTACGGTTTCTGAGAATACTATTTGGTTTCCGATATCAAGAAAAAGGTTTTGTAGAATACCTGACAGGCATTGAAATCGGCATTCTAGGGAACCGGAGGGTTTCTGAGACCTCGGAAACCGAAAAGGTATTTTGGGAAACGGTTGAAGTTCTCGAAAATCTTCTCGCAAACGGTTTTAGGTTTCCGAATGGGTTTCCGGAGTGGTTTGGGTTTTCTGGGAAATGTTTTTTTTTTAGAGAGTATGGGATCGACACATCATGAAACTATTCATGCACAGTCTGTGGACAGTGAATACTATTCTTTTACAGTAAAATTAATGCGGCTATAGAGAAAATGCATCAATGAGTAATTTCTACTGAAATGACACGACAAAGTAGAGGAACTACTCCAGATACGAAGTTTTCCCTTCGGTTCCACTGCGTTCATTCAATGATGAACTTTGACTTATTCCTTATATTTGGCTCCAAATTCTAGGCTTTCAGTTGGGTGTGGGTGTGAACGTGGGTGTGATATTGTTGGTGTTAGTGTTAGAGTTAGTGTTGACTTACATTTGGCACCCACACTCTAGTTGTCTGTAAAAACAGTACTTGTGGAATCAATATCGTTGCATGTTTTACTTGTATTATGTGTGCTTTCTACTTATATTATACTGTCAGAGAGTTTACAAGATGTTTGTTGCTTATTTTTACTATTATATTTCTCACCAGCGACATCGATATGAAATGTCGAATCACTGAATAACTCTGAAGTATTTTTGCATATAATATAATATTCGAGAGTTGAAAAGGAAACATAATTAGATTATTTATTTCATATACTTTAATGTCTTTTTTATCATTCTTCCAACAATTATTTTGGTAAAAATTATTTAGAACAGTAAAAAATATTTAGTCGAAAACATAATAAGAGAAAGTTGTCACTAATGGAAACTCTCTCTCCTTCATTGTAAATTAAATTTAGAATTTAATGATACTTGAATTACATATAGCATAGCTACAATGAGCTTCAAATCATAAGTTGAGTGCATCATCTAAAAATCAGATGTGAGTCTCCTACCATTGGGCAACATACCATTATACGAAAAGATTGAAGGTACCGTCATTACCACTTTGCAAATTGACTAAATATTTAATCTTTACAATAAAATCAAGACCCGCTAAAATGAATTGTTCGATAAAAATCGAGTTATAGCTGCAGTAGTTAGAAATAATCGATTGATAATTTATCAATTCGATTAGAAAAGATTGAGATTTCAATTGGTTAAGGAAATTATAATCGATTATAGTATGTTATAATCGGAGTGTTCTCCTTCGATCATAAGATGGAAAAGACGAATAATAAACGCTCCTTTCTAGTACAGTGATAGTATAGATGCCCGGAAAGCAGAAGATCTTGGTTCGATTCCATCGAAGGGAGATGGTCCTTTTGTTCCGTTCTTTTGTCATACCATCTCGTTGCTGTCTCGCTAATAACCTAGTAAAGCTTTTCAGCGCAGCCCCATTGGGGCTAAAATGTGGAACTCACGTATTTCTGTCAGTTAGATACTGATCAAATAGAAGTTTTATTTTTTCAGTGTAGTGAGATCATATTTTGTTTAAAAATAAGATAATAAAACCTTTTTAAGATTTGAAGTTTATTGGATCTATCAATAGGAAATATTACTAGAGGGAACATATGAAAAACCTTTTGTTTAGAATATTTCAGTATGCTGAAGTGTTTAGTGGTTCCATTGAGAAATATTGTGAATGATAATAGTTTAAACAGTATTTAGGATATAGCTATCGATATTGTTGATCAAATACGTTATATAGAATGTTGAGAAATTTATATTTTACGTATTACTAGGTGAGAAATTGATACATTTTTATCAACGAAAATTTGATAAAAGCTTCCCAGTGGATGGAAAAGTTGCGAATTGTAAATACACTAAAGCGGATTCAAGCTCCAGATTAAGGTATTTGTGTGAAAAAAATATTAAAATGTTCATCTGTTTATTGTAGGTGGTAGAAGTAATGAGTGTAATAGTAGCATAAACTCGTTGCTAGCTTCTGTAGCGGTAGCATGCACTCGTTGCTAACGTCTGTAATAATAAAAATATATAATACTGCCGTAACTATGGACTATAATAATAAAAACGATAAATTCTGAAGATTAATTAGATACTAAATCCTAATTATCGTGATTTCTAATTAGTGAAATTAGATTTTAATTACTCATATGAGTAGTGGTGAACATAGGCTATTGATCTGTACAAAAATTTTATTTAATTAGTGCACCGAACGGTTAGTTTTTTCATGTTCTATGTCTGTAATGGGGAGGGGAGTGGGGTACAGGGGAGCCGCAAAAACCTAACAATCCAACTTACACTCACTATTTTCTTCGAAAACATGTGAGTTCCACAAAAAGAAAGAAAGTAGACGTAACATAGGGTTAAAATCGGATTCAGCTGTGGTAACTGTAAACAATCTATTCATAATCTATCAATTCCATTTTACATGATTCAGATTTCAATCGATTGTAGGATCAAAAACTGATTTTGAGTACTATAAACAAAAATAATTGATTGATTGGATCTGTTTTAAATCGATTTTAGGATTTTAATCGAATTCTTCTGCAAAAATAGGAGGTTTCGCTTGATAAATCAGATTTGTCCATTGCGAATCAAAAATAATCAAGATTTTTTTAGGAACATTTTTCACTGGGTAGAAGCACCCAGACCCAACAGAAAGTTTAGCTTAAAAACTGGCGCTGCTGATAGCAATCATTATCAGTGACAAACAATATATAATTACATAGCGGTGGCCAGTCTGGGCGGGGGCTCCATTTTTTCCGTCATTTAATTTATATAGGAAGTGGCTATGTACACTCAGGAAGCTATAATCAATTAAGTGCCAAATGTAAACATATATTAAATCTGTAACAGCTACACCTCACGACAGCGGGAGCTTTTAGAAGCATTTCCGTGCATGCTAAATCCATGCCTGAAGTTGCTACAACACTATCTGAAGATACTATAATCATGCCCGAAGGTGATACTAACATTCCTCAAGTTGCCATTAACATTGGTGAGGATCCTACTACCATTCTTCGTAATACGAAAAGCGTTCACAGGGTTGCTAATGGCATTTGTGACAGTAATTTTAGAATATCTAGGCAGACACACCGCAACCTCAGGCATATAAGTAGCATCCTCAGGAACGTCAGTGGCATCCTCGGGAATGCTAGTAGCTATCCAAGCAATGTCTTTAGCATACTGTTCGACATTCCTGAGGATGCTACTAGCATTCCCGAGGATGCCACTAACGTTCCCGAGGATGCTACTTACATGCCTGAGGTTGCGGTGTGCCTGTCTAGGTATTCTAAAATTACTGAAACAAATGCCATTAGCAACCCTATGAATACTATTCATATTACGAAGAATGGTAGTAGGATCCTCACCAAAATTAGTGGCAACCTGAGGAATGCTAGTAGCAACTTCATGAATCATTTTAGCATCTTTAGAAATGGATGTAGCATGCACAGAAACGCTTCTAAAAGCTCGCGCTGTGGTGAGGTGGAGCTGTCACAGATGTAATATAAGTTTACATTTGGAACTTAATTGATCATAGCTTCCTGAGTGTACATAGCAATGTGGCTATGTGTACTTGAGTGTACATAGCCACTTCCATTTATATAATACATGAGAATAATTTTTTTTTACCAGCTATGACACTCGTATAATGCTGATAATCGATCAAGTCCAAGGGGTCTATACGTTGTTTAAACCACAACAATCAAAGTCCTCGAAAAACATCTGTTCGTAAATAGCGACGGAGTTTTTGAAAATATCGATAATTTCGATTTCAAACAAGGTATACACCCCTTGAATTTCACTGATTATCAGCATTATACTAGTTTTAAAACTGGCAAAACAAATCCTATTTTTCTGATGTATTATGGAAGTTAAATGATAAACAAAATTGGAGTGTCCAGGCTAATTGGCCACCTCCAGATATACTCATTCTAAAATACTACTTCCCTATTTTAGCGATGAACAGTAATCAGCCTTTGCTCGCCGAATTTGAAAATTTGCTCACTGATCTTCTACATGACTGCAATGTTCCTTTGGAAGAATTGGATATTAATCAAATTACTGTTGATTTATACAATCAAAAGGTATCAGCATTGGACAATATTAAACACGTGTTGTTAACCGATAAATATGCTTCTTTTCACGAGACATTCATTAATCATCCTCAAATGAAAGACATTTGGAAGGCAAAACAAACTTACGCAGAACAGGGACTAGAAGATGATCTTTTTCATCAATTCAGAACTGAATTGCACTTATTGTGGAAACAATACAATTTTCCTGATGACTTGGATTTTACTAGTACAGCTCAACGCTTGTTCAATAAAGATACGGAAGTCGTCGAATTCGAAACCATTAAGGACAACTTATTACCAAATAACTTTATAGGTTTCAAAAATGATTTTATGAATAATGAAAAGTTTAAACGAATTCGACAGGCGAAACAACAAGAGACTTCTAATAGTTCTTACGCCAAATTTCGAAGTGAAATAATCACATTGTTTGATTCCGAAGGTGTTACTACAGAGGACGTTGACCATGAATCGCTCGCAACATCGGTATTCGATAATCCAGATAACGTAGCTGATATTCTTGATGGTCATCTAAAAAGTACAATTGCTCCGAAAAAGATTAGGAGTCTCATCAACAAGATTCAATCAAATGAAAAACTGAAGAAGCTTTGGAATTCAAAACCAACCTTAAGTCCAAAGGAAAATTTTAGCAGTACCGTTAAAAGTATATTGAAAAAACACAAATTTACAATCGGTAATATTGACGCGATAGTCTCTGAGCTTTGCTCCAATTATGACCGTGGACTTCATTTGATCGAAGATGAATGTACACCAGAAGATTTTGATAAAATCAAATCAGATCTAATGAAGTGCAAAGAGATTCAAAGTAGAATGAGTAATTCAACAATTACCAAATGTCCATCATCTGGAGAAAAGACAAGCAAAGAATTATTAGAAATCGAATTGGATAAAATTTGGAAAGATAACGCGTTCAACAACTTGGAAAATTCAATACGTGATCAGTTTGTTGCAGGCCTCATTGAAAATGGAATCGATCCAGCCATGCAAATAATTATGTCCAAAATGGTCAAAAAACATCAGTCACCCTTAAAAGATGCGATTAACAATAATGAAAAGATTCGAAATATTATTATGAAACCAAAAGTAGAGGACGAGAAATTTAGTAGTATCAAACCTCTTCAAAAGATAATGTTTGGTAGTAATGATAATTATTCTGAAGATTTATTTTCAAAAATAGTACAGCTAGATTCTGAAAATTTTCAAGATATTGTTAAACAAGAGATAAATAATAGCAATGGTAAATCACTGATCGACGTAATGATGCCATTTATAATAAATAAGTTAAAGAAAGGAATCGATTTATCTGGACTTTGTACATCAGAAATATTCTGGGATGATAGATTACCAGTTTATGGAACGGATTATAAAACTATATTAGTATGCATGATTGAACGCTATAAAAATCATCAAATCTACTTTGTTTCTTTGTTGAAGAAACTTGGCATTGCTTTACCATTTGCATACCAATGGATAATTGATGGTGCTTTAAAGTTTAAAATACCACTTCGAGCCTATTCACATTGCTTATCAGTTGATTGTCCAATCATTATCTCTTTAGGATCGAATTCCATCGGTAAAAGTGCACTTCTAAACAAGATTTTTAATACGCAGTTCATTACTAATAAAGTTGCCAAAATAAATGGAGGTATCGACGTGATTTTTTCTACACCAGAGTTTTCCTCTGGTTTCACCATATTTGATGTTCATGATCATGCTCATCAACAGCAAAACCTTCTAAAAGTATTTTGTTCTATGCTACCTATTAAAAATTGTTGGATACTTCTTCAAAGTGCATCATTTAACGAAACTAATACTATGTTTAAAATGTTACAATCATTTAATTTTATTGATTATCAAATCATCTGTATTATGAGAGATTATAGACGGTTGACCAATGAACAAGAAGAACAACTCCGGCAATATGGAATTCGACATTTTTTATCCATATGTAAAATTGAACATGATAATCCAGAAATCAATTCGAATTTAGTAACTTTGAGAGAAAAGCTTTTTAAATTAACTGGAATCGGAGAAAAATCTGCCAAACTACCAAACAATGCTACAGTACGAGAAGAAGATTATAATGTTTATTTAGAAATTGAAAGTAAAGCATCACAACAAAAATATGATGATATTTATATTGCTATTCAAGACAAAGAAACAAGAGATTCTTCTATTTATATTGATCAGCTGTTGCGAAATATTGATAAGGATAAGGACAATTTACAATCATTCCTATTTAAACATATTCAAGCAAATAACACGATACAAGGTCAACGAAGAAGTAAAGCCGCACTCATTGGTAAAGATACTGAACAAAAAGCCATTCAATTAAGCAAGATAGATGGGAAAATAATTGAATATTCAAGAGCAAAAGCTTCTACTATGCCGAGTGACTTAGTTTTGGAATACAATAAACTATTCATAAAAAAAAAGTTCAATTTGATTATTGAAATGGATCGGCGAGTATGCGCTTGGCAAAGTCCTATTTTATCACCATTGTTCAAAAAACGAAATGAAATTCTAAATAAATTAAAGTCTTGTCAAGCAACTATTCAGGAATTGAAAACCAAGGATAACCAATCAGCTAAACTGAAAGAGTCGGAACGTGAAATGAACGAATTAGAAAAGCGAAAAAAAGACAATTCGAATTCTATTGATCAGCAAACCATAAATAAGGATATTTTTATGCGAGAATTGCTCTCAATGTATGGCGATGACGATTTTCTTGCAAATCAATCTGCTGGAAATGAATTATTAAATAAAGATCTATATATATCTTCATTTGTTGAGTACATAAGCAATGGCAATGAAATAGAAGTGATTGATGGCGATAACAATGAATTTAACGCGAAAATTGTTGCCGACATATTCCGAGGGCTAGAAGTGAAATTAAATGAGTCCGAAGAACCATATGTTGTTTCCGTTATTGGACCACAAAGTACAGGAAAATCGACTCTTTTAAACATGTTGTTTGGCAGTAATTTTCAAATGAGTGCTGGTCGTTGTACAAAAGGTTTGTATGCGTCTATGTTTAAAACTGACTATCCAAATGCAAAGACATTAATGGTGCTTGACACTGAAGGACTTATGTCTATTGAAAAAGCCAATGAAGAATATGACAAAAAACTAACCATATTTTCCATGGCATGTTCACAAGTTATGCTTATTAATTTAAATGGGGAAATTAATGCGGCCATGAAAAAGATTTTGACGATTAGTCTTTTTGCTGCTAATCAGCTGAAAATTTTCAAAACTCGTCCTATTATCATATTTATATTGAGAAATATGATGGATTTAAATGTCGATAAGCAAAAGGAAATGGTTGATAACGTTAAGAAAGAACTAGAAGAAGTTAGTAAATTGTGTCAACTTGAATTAACTCAAGTGTTAGATTTCAAAGAAGAAAAAGCCTTTTTCTTGATGTTAACAGCATTTAACAAAGATTCAGTTTACAATAGAGATAAAGAACTCTTTCAAAAGTCGACAACAAATGCTAAATTTGCTGAACTCATTCAAGATTTACGAAAGATTATATTTGATGAAGCTACACTAATAAGTAAAAATGGTAAAAAATTCAAAAGCCTTAGCGATTGGGTTAAGCACGCAACGGAGATTTGGGCAACGCTTAATCTATTTAACAGTATTATCATGATTGAATCAATTAAAGAAATCAATGAAAGAAAAGAACTCGGTGAAGTAATTACTTTGATAATGAAAACATTTATTGAGCCAAATGAGGAAAAAACAAGTTTTCGTTCAAAGCTTGACGAAATATTATTAGAACAAGAAGTCTCGGTTAATACTACACATAATATTGATTTCGATGTGGAACAACGCTTTGATGAAGAAGAACGGAATTTCACAGATAAAGTTAAAAGTGAATTTACTCAAGAAACTGAAAAACGTTCATTTGCAGAAAAATTAATTATAGAATATCGTGATCGATTATCTTATGCAATAAAATCAAGTAAAACACAAGCAGTAGAAAAATATAAAGCGATTGCTCAAAAAAGAAAAATTCAAGGTAAAATTGAAGCTTCCTTAATGGACCTACAAATTCGTAGTGAAACAAAAATTCTTGAATGGCAAAAGGTTAAAGGAGATATTTCTGAGGAGGAAGTGACGAAGAAAAAACAAGAACTCAAGACTTGGTTTGAAACTGAAATGAATATAACAAAAGAAAAAATAAAAAAGGACTTAGAATCAAATAAGAAAACTGTTGAACAATGGCGAATTTTCGTTAAGAATCAAATCATATCAGCAAATGGAATGTTACCTGTAGAAAAAATCTTCTATAGTATAACGACACTTCAATATAAAGCATCCTACATGATTTCTTCATCCAATAACATTATTACACTTACCAATGACAAACACCAATTGATGCAAAATGATGATATTATTAAAAAAATACCAACACTAATAAATAATAGGAGGAGGAAAGTAGGACTGAACAGACAAAATTCTTGCAATGCTCCAGCTATTCAATCGCGTGCTAAGCATGAAACACTTCATATACAAAAATCTGAAAAAAAGATAGTTGCAAAATGGAAACAATTCACTTCGTGGATTGCCAGTACTTTCACATTTTCTCATGAGGAAAGCAAAAGATATGGAATAATTGATGACAATCGTTCACTCAATCAATCAAGTCAAGATAAATTAAACGAATTGTACGATGTCTGTATTGATTCTGATGCTTTAGTACTTATTTATTCGATGTTTTTTGAAATGAATGACTATCTTACAAACGAAATTAAAAAAGAAATATTCGAAAGAGCTGAATATGAAATCATATGTTTAAAACAACATCTTTTACAAATTCATGCCAAAATGAATGAAATAAGTCAAAAGTTTTTGGATGATGATGACTTAGAATTTACCGTCAATTTTGGAACTGACTTGATCGAATGGCTCTATGATATTATTCTTGAAAAAATGACGAGTGATGAACGGAGCACATACGAGAAACTTGAGCAAAAAGCCGACGAGCGTATTGCAGATTTACTACGAGATTTTGAAGACAGACTTGAAAAAACATTTGGAGATATGGAATACGCTGAAATTATGGCAAAAAAAATGCTTGAAAACGTCAATAGTGGATGTTTAGCAAAGATAGAACGAGAATACAAACAAAAGTTGAAGGAAAGTACTATTCTTCATTCAAGCGATTTGGTTCGTAAATCGGATGAAGTATTCTATGGGACAAACGGAATATACAAAAATGATGATATTATTGAGTACATCACAGGAATGCTTGGCTATATGAAGAAAGTCTACACAACATTTTTCGATACTAAAAATACGGTTGCGTTCAAGGAATGTGACTGTTCTTATCGTACAGTTTTCAATCAACAACGTAAAATTTTGATTGATAATCTAACAAAACTCGAAAGCATCTTCAAGGACTTTAAGACAACTGAAATGCAAGATGCCCATGATTTAGATAATTTTCAGAAGTTCTTCAAAACATATTCAGAAGGGAAAGCTACGTGGGAGCAACTAAAAGAATTAAGTGAAAAGAATTCATTACCATTAGGGTGGGTACAACCAAATGAATTAGACAATCCGGATATTCTCTTCAAGAATATAGCATTTTTTCCAATTACGAATCCAAGAGTGTTCATAGGTGCTATTATAAAAACAATTCAGACTCGTCACGAAAATGAAATAAACAATGTGACATCTAAGTTCATTTTAACTGATGATATGTTGAGAGAAAAGGATCAAATTAAGAGCAAAAATCAAGAAGACGCACTTGGATGTATCGTACAATGCCCCTTTTGTGGGTGCAAATGTGAAGAAGGCTCAGGGCCACATAGTGTACATCAGTCAAAGAAACATAGACTAATGGCATTCAATGGTTCGTTTGAAATGGTTTCGAGTGAAAGAAAAGGTTATGTCTTTGATTTATGTAACAGCGAACTTACAATCAGACACAGTAAATGGAAAGAAAATGTATCAAGTCAATTATCAGTTCACGACAGTAAAGAAATCAGGGAAAGAATGACTCAATACGCAGTTGGCCAAGGAGATGTTACAATTTCATTGATTTGGTTTGATAGTAATGATCTCGATTTACATGTGACGTGTCCTTGTGGAACTGTACTCTTTTTTGGAAACACACGATGTTCATCGTGCTCTGGATATTTGGATAGAGACATGAATGTATGCTATTGTGGTGTGACATGTCCGCAGAACAAATGTTCATCAACAAAGCCAATGGAAAGTGTCTTTTTCACACCAGCTAAGAGCGGCATCTACAAGGTGTCTGTAAACTATTACAGTGGACCCAAAGGTAACGGTGGTACTAAATCAAATTTTGAGGTTCGAGTATCAACTCATTGCAAGCAATCTGTCCAAGTAATGAATGGCTATGTTGAATCTTCTGGTTCTAGAAAGCGTCAGGAAGTTGGTCAATACGAACACAGCCAAGGAATCAATTTTCTTCAACATGTTGAAAAAAATTTTCCAGAATGGCGTAATATTAGCATCGTTGATGATAAAAGTTGGGAGAATGTTTTGAAAAAAGCTTGGTATCAAGTTGCGAGTCGAATGAGTCAATTTCATGGATTTTACAATAATACTCCAAACGAATTTCAAAACTTGATAACTTAGAGGAACTTGTCGCTCTATCATGCATAGGCATTTATTTATTGCGTTAAACTGGTCTACTCTTTCTATTAAAAACCATAAACTATTCCCACATTTCTTTCCATTTTTATTTAGAATTCCTTTTATGCGCCTTTTTCGCGTCACATCCACTCATATGCTTCTTGGTATATTATCAAACAATAAAACAAAGATTGCATTTACTATACGTAGGCAGCTGGGAGAGTAGTCTCAGGCACAGTTTTCGAGAAAAGTTCTACCAGCCTGTGGATGAGTGTGGATTTACGTAAATAAATGTAAAAACGACGTCAACAGCCAAAATTCAATTCTGAAGGAGTGAAAATCCATGATCCTGTAAGATATGCTAAAAATAGGGGTGTGGATGTGGGTGGGGTGGTGGTGGGTGTGGGTGTGGATGTGGGTGTGAGCGTTGGTGTGGGTCTCAGAGATGGGTTCGCATGCAAATACACCCACACCCTCAGCAATCGGAAAATTATTATAAACTACTGGAAGATTATTTTCAGGTAAAGAAAAATAATTATTTGTATTTTGATAATTGTATCCGTGATAATTTTCATAGCTCATTGGTGGAGTTACGAATGTATTTGGTGCTATTATTGGTGGTAATGTTACTGGCATTGGCATAGGATATAGCACAGTTTGTTGAGCAACAAATATATCTGTTTGCTTTGGTTTTCTTAAATGAAAAGAAAAATATAAAATAAAGCATTGAAAAATTGCTTGTTTTTTAAATAACTTTTTCAATTTTGGTATTTGCCGATTTACTGGAGAGAATTCCATATCAAGAATTAAAGCAATTAATGCGAAAAAACAGATTATAGTCATAATGAGACCAACCATCCCATTCCACCATGCCCAGTCAAGAAATGCTGATATACGATTCGAACGACCTTGAACAGACATTACACCTAATGTTGCTGAGAGAAATACCATTAAAAAGAAAACAACAACAGAAATTGTTCGCTTGCTTTTTAAATTCATTCATCGATTTAAACATAATTGCTACGAACAAAAGTGCAGCAGCACCAAGAAACATAAAGATATATGGTAATCCATCTAAATTAATTATTCCAATTATAATAAGAGCAGCAGCAAATACACAAAATATTAAATATATTATTTCTAATGCTTGACTTGTTCGAATATAACCTGTGTATAGTATAAATTAAAAGATAAATTCGTTTCCAAGTAAATATTTATTTACTTGGTTTTCCTCTTGAAAAAGCATTTCTCGTAGTATTTGTATTATATACTCTATCAGACCATTGGTTACAAGATCCGTTTGTTGATTTATCACAAACTTTCCAAAGGCCAAACTGAATGTTTTTAACGTTAGTAGTTATCCATGGAGTTCCGGCAAATGAAACTATGTTAAGTACCATATAAGATAGAGTTGATATTATAATAACTAATAAAAGAAATCGTCCAAGACCAGATTTTGGAAATAAAAACATTTTTTGTTTTGTCGATTATATTCTACTTAATCGGTCGATCCGTGTCTGTTTTTTTTCTGTACCTTCATATAAATATTGATAAAGGTAAGGACAAAAGTAGTTTTATGTTGACACAGAATATATCACGTTTTCTTTTTCAATAGTTATACAAACAAATATATATATATATTATTTTCAATAAAATTTATTTATTTTTACTATTTATTCTCTATTTGTTAATTTTTGTTTCATTTTTATTATTGAAAAATAATTAATTAAGCATACCAAAATTACATTGTCTATCATAAAAAGAAATATTCTTTTTTTTTCCCTAAATAAATAGAATCGCTGTTCTTATTGTTGTCTCCTTGATGATCAAATAACCATGAATAGATCGCATATATTAATCACCCTCGATTTCTTTTCAATATTCAAAAAAGAAACATGACTGTCTTATTTATTTATTCAATCAATAATATGAACAGACAATTATTTATTCAACGATTAATAACATATTGATCAGAATAAAAACCGAATCATATTCTTAAAAAGACATTAACTGTATCAGTTAAAAATTAATAATCAAGAATGAATCTGATTTTTCATTTGTATTTTTATGCATCGAAAAATTAATTCAAAACAATAATTCCTTCTAAAACATTTGTTTTTGCTTAGATTGAAATGAAGAATCAAGGACTTGAAACTTTTTTAATGAGACAAAAAAAGATAAAAGTTAGTGATGATTTATGTTTTAGTCATAGAAGCAACATATTGCAAATGAATAGATAAATAAAATTTTAAATCAAACTATTTTAATTTGATTCTTTTATATATTTTTAATCGGTTTTTAATATTCAATTGAAATAGATCAGATCAATGTAGTTCGACATTAAATTTATTTATTATAACCTTGTCCTCAATAGTTATATCATTGTAAACGAAATAAATCAACATCATATCTATAAATTCTTCGTATAAAATACTTCGGATATCTTTGACTGAGATTCAAATATTTCTTGAGAGAAATCTAGGACAACATTTCAACAAAGTTGTTTTCCTTTTTCTAAATAGAACTCGACGATCTCCATTAAATCTATAACTTAGTAGTTTGTTCTCGATCTTCTATCATTTGGAAATCTGATTAACATTGTTAGTAAATCTTCTTGATTGAATCTTGTCAAGAAATTCAACGACTTTAAAACTCAAAGTGATGCCTTTATTTTGATGGCAATATTATTTTTTAATCGATGAAATCGATTTTCACTGTTTTTTCTTCTAGAGTACCTTTGAATGTTCCAAGAAGATTTTCATCGCATGAAAAAGTACATTACAGGTGCCGAATTGAGTTATAAAACATTGGATTACGCAATAATTCAGAACATTTATATTCCTGTAACAAAATATGAGTAAACGAGCTGCATCTCAACGTTTAAAAGATAGAATCGGTCAAGTACTAGAGAAATAAGTAATGAAACTTTTGTTAAAGCATTTTCATCGATGTAAAAACAGGCTCGTGATTTTTTAATTTCTGTAGCTGAGCCTATTTCTCGACCAGAATTAATTCACGAATATAAATTAACTAACATCATATTCACTATATGCCGCTGCATCTATTGGTATACAAACAAAAAGATATTATTGAATATTTACAATGACTTTGTAGTACGACAATACCTAATAGTGTCATTTAATTTATTGAATCATGCACATTTAGATATGGAAAAGTAAAACTATTTATAGTTTTACTTAGTTTTTAGTCACAAATAAGTATTTTAGACCGTATAAAACACTATCTAAAATTTCATATGCTACTAAATAATTTATATTTCATCTGAGTTGGTTCATCTACGATTAAAACTTTGCGCGATAGTATTTTTATACTGTTTTTCGAACACAAAAATCGCTTCAATAATTTTTCTATCATATTTGTTTATCTGTTGATATCTAATTATTGAATGAATGTATTTGAAAAGTTCTTTTGATCTATTTCTAAATTTATTAGTTTATTGAGAAAAAAGATAACAATATCATTTTAAATGAATACAACAGATATAACAGAAAACAATCATTAAACACTGAGAAAGTCATTGATTTTACGTTCAAGATGCTGAAGAACGAGTCGACGAATTTTGATTTGTTGAAGAACGTTTCCAATTGGTTCACTCAATAATGGATTTGGATGATTAGCATAAAATTTCTAATATAAATAAAATAAGAAATCCATTCTTATCTATAGGGTGTGGGTCAGCGGCGTAACCAGGATTTTTAGACCACTGGGCAAACTTCCATTAAGTCAAAAAAAAACCATGGGCAAAATGGGCAAGATTTTCATTGATGGGCCAAAATTTTTTAACCCAACAAAGTATTGATAACATAGAAAAAATACAAAATAAAATAAAATAAAATGATGTTCATTTAACTACACAAAAAATATGAGATTCTTTTAACCTAATATATATGAAATGAAACTCAGATTTTAAGCCTTCCTCACACTTTCTTAGTTAGACATATTTTGTTCCATCTTCAGTCTCTATTTATAACATTTAGTTTTGAAATTCAAACACCAAAATCAAGACGACGATTGTATATTTTTACATATAATTTCAATATTTCGATGAAAAGTGATGACCTAATAACGTATTGACACTGGCGAATCTACCATTACAGCTAACTGGCGAGGGGCACCCCCTTCACGAAATGTTTTTGATTTTTCCCAGCAATAATGAAACACAAGAGTCGTATTGCCTCAAATAGGCTTCAAGAAAAGCTTTTCGGCCAGGAGTGCTACTCCCTTACTGATTTTATGAATCCGCCGCTGCGTATTTGGTCGTTTCCCAGTGGCATGGCTTAGTATAAGTCTTTTAAAACAGGACAAAAGAGAGCAGCAAAATAATAAGTGTAAGTGCGCAATTTTATATAAGCATATTTGTTGTTTTTCTTTTTTGTTTAAGCTTTTCTTATAATATAGTAGCGCGAAAGAAGAAACAAGAAGGTAAACTGAACGAGATAGGTTATTGTTCAATCGTTTTCTTTTCATGTCAGTATTTTGAGAGAAGATAATAGAAAAGCACTAGTATACATATAGATAAGTATGTACAATTATGCATTGGTTATTTTTTTTGTTCTGTTATCTTCTATTAATTATTCATAAGAATAAGGAAAGGGTACTTATGCGATTCAAACGAAAGAAAAAGGACAGTAGCTAGTTTATTTAAAAGTAAATAATTGTGAAAAAGTAAAATTTCAATGGGCAAAAATTAACTAATGAAAATTACAATGGGCAAGGCTCAAAATCAAATGGGCAATTGCCCATTTGCCTCCCCCCCTGGTTACGCGGCTGGGGGGGGGGGGGGTGGGGGTGGGTGTTGGGTCGAGTGTGGTTGTGGGTGTAGGGGCGAGTGCGGTTGTCGGTGTGGATGAAGCAGCCAGGAAAATTGGCACAGAAAACCACACCCACACCCACACCCACTCCCACACTCATACCCTCAAGATCATCATATTCGAATGCTGAACAGATCTTGACTAAAATATATTGATATCGTGGCAAAATCCTCTCTATGATTTTTGCCAGGTTTCTGGATAGGATTCACTGTTAATATCAACAGGATTCTACAAATTCAATTGACAAAAGAATTCGAGCAAGAAATTGAACAATATCTGTATGCAATCCTGAATGAAACTTGACATGATTCGTGAAATGTAAAATCCTGGAAGATCCTTTTAGGTATTCTCCATAAATATACACAACTGAGTTGGCTAAACAGTAACTTGAAAAGATTTTCTTAGCAAAACCCTGAGTGAAGCTTTCAGCATTGGGAAGTTTCGCATTCCAGCGGATTTGGCTAATATCTTTCTGAGATCCTCGTCTGGCATGCCCATTATTCCTGGCAGCATCCTGATGGGAAAATTTGACCTAGATCTTCAAAAGAATTGAATAAAGTATTTTGAAGAATGCTCCTTCATTGCTTTGAGAGAATCCTGTATATGAGCTTGAGTAAACCCTGGAATGATCCCGAATTCTTATCTTACAATAATATTCGGACAGGAATTTAAAGAAATCCTGAACAGTATCCTGTTTTGCACTGAAAAAACCTGGAAACAGGAACTACTAGAATTTGAAATTGGATTCTATATAAAATTGGCAAGATCTTTGAGATTGATGATCCTGGCAGATCCCTCCAGTATTTCACAAAGAATGATCATGATTGAGATTAGGGTAATTTGAAAGAATATTTTTGACTTAAGGACGGTAGAAATAATCATGAAACATATAGAATAAATACAGGAATACAATTTTCATTAGCTCACAAGAGTTTATGAATGAATTTGAAGCTTTAAAAAAACATTCGCATGAAATAGTCAAATGGTTCATATAATATATGCTTGCAATGCATTATAATGAATATTTCCCCATTATTCGCTTTAAAACGTGCATTATAATAGTCGAAATGGTCAACATTGGTACAGTACTGCATTTTAATGGTAGTTTGTTCATTGTTTACTTGACAAGGTAGTTTGTTTGTGTTCAATGAGTGGAGGGTCCTCATTGGCCATTTTCACGCGTGCCATCGCCTTCATTATCCAGTTCAGTGAGTCGTGGATCTAAATGCAAGCAAAAAGTAATACTCAG